TGTGTATATTTGCTTTAATATTGGCTTCTTTCTGCTCTGACTCGAGCACAACAGCTGAACCGCTCTTGGAAGCAGTTCACACAACAGCACAAAGGGAATATTGCGAACTTCCATGCGAGCTTTGCACGACCGATGGGGCTTGCTGTAGGAAGGGAAAGCACGCATGTACCCAGCCTTCTGAAGGTTCGCCCGTGTTTTCTGAGCCACAGGACTGGATCCTGGTATAAATTAACATTTTCCATTCCCAGATGTTCGTTCCGCCTTGTTGCGACACCTCTTACCTAGTTTCAGGCTGACCTTGCGCTGGGCTTGAGACTGTTCACGAGTTTTTTAGTCATTGTTAAGAGTAAGGAAAAAGAAACAAACATCTGGCTAGCAGAGCTGCCAAGTGCACATTCCTGCCTTGTTTTTCAGCCTTTCAATCCCTTTGTTTTCAGCCTGAAATTCCACTTGATAAATGCATGGAGAGCCACAGGGCACTGATTAGACGCAATTCCAGTCCTGACCCACGCCACTGCTCCACTAGCATTGCCTCAGTGGAAGCACCACTGGCATCCACAGACCCCAGACCAGGAGTAAGACCTTGGCAGATCCGTCCCATCCATGTTTACATATGGGGGCCTGATCCTACTCCCACTGAGGTCAATGGGAGCTTTGCCACCAACTTCAATGGGAACAGGATGGAGCTTTAACATTGTTACTGCATTGAAATGGTGTTCAAGCCCATCCTTTGCCAAGATATGGGCTTCTTAGTTTCTATAGCTGTAGTATGCTTGCTTTTAATTGGAAACAACAACTTCATTGAATCTTGGCCTGTGGTGCTGGCACGGCCTGACCAGACCAGGTGGGGTTGTTTCAGCAAAGGCTCATGAATTATCAAATGCAAGAGGGGCCATGTGACAACAGCTTCATCTTCTTTACCTTGGCTGCGCAAGATTCAGCCTGCTGCACCTCTGCATGGGTGCATTCTCCTGGACCACAGCTGCTCAGACCTGGGTCCATCCTTCCCAGCTATGGGTGCTTCCCTACAGCAGCTAAGTTAAGTCAAAGAAGCTGGCTTAGATTTCATCTGTTGAAAGAAAAACCACTCCAGGGGTTGATTCAGACCTTGGGCAGGTTGTAACACTATCCAAAAGCACCTGTCTTTTGCAGGATGCTGCTAAACGGAGGCTAAATAGTTAGTCAGAGCCAGGAAACCAGGATCAATTGCTCAGTGTGACAAGCAGCTTTGAATCCCTTCAGAGAGATACGCTAGGGAAAAGGTAAGGTGCAGAAGGACCACTGTGTTTTCACTCAATTGGATGTCTTCGCAAGGCATTGCATTAATGTTGCTTGGAATACCAAGCATCTGAGTCTTTTAAAAGCTTCCCTCTGTTTTTTATTTACGTGTGAGTGAGTCTGTGTTTTTGAAAACCATATTTGAAGATCATTAATCTGAGACAAGAAAGCGCCAGACTTATACAATGCTGTCCCACCCAGCTGTTGATGCTCACCAAACCCAACCTACGCAAGGGCTGACGCTGTGAAGCGGGATTGTACTGGACTGGAAAGCCTCTCTTTTCCATCAGAGATGCCAAATCTGTGGTGTCGCTATGATGATCCAAGTTGACACTGGCCATGAGAACAATTCTGTTTCTTCCCTGCTGGTCACTTCCATAAATGCCAAGTTCTGGGCAACACAATGTACATCATTTCCAGGAGACCGCTCAGTGGTCCCATTTGCATTGCCAGTTGGGTTTTGGTTGTTTTTTTTTTTTAACGCTTTTTCTTTCAGCCATACATTTTAGATTAAAAAATAATAATCATGCAATCTCTCAGGAAATAGGGCTTTCAAAAATGGGGACGCAAAGCAGCATGGTCCAGTGGAGATCTGAGCAGGCAGACTTTACAGCCCTGCAGCCGCTCGTTGAATATCCTTTTTCATTAAGATTAGTTTCAGCTTCTGGCCCCTGCTGTACCACTGTAAGTCCTTTTTTTTACCCAGTGCCTTTTTAAGGGCTCCCTCATTCAAGGGAACTACAAACTCAACAACCAGTTATTAATTTCACTTGCAAATGTATGCTCCTCATTGAGTTTAGATTCTGATTTAAGGTGACTTCTGAGTGAGGAAATTACAGCCCAAAAGAGAGCTATTGGCTGCCCATTTCCTACACAGAGGAGGTCTGAACATTATCAAGCTGTACCGAGAGCTTTCAGTCTCAGTCTCAGAAGAAAAGGGATTTGGGGTGGGTTTGAGAATATAAATGAAGAAGGACCGCAGCGTACAGGACTTGTCCTGGCATTTCATCGGCCTAGATGGCAAAGCCCTTTTATCATCTGTAAGGAGGAAAATGCCACTCACAGCTGGAAACTACACAGAATTTGTATCAAGAAACCTGGACAAGTATGTAGGAAAAAACTGGGAAGTTTGGTTTTGTGGGAGGAAAATCGTAAGCTTTCTATCAGTTCCATCTATTGAGTCCTACCAATTCAGAGGGGCTTACCAGGTTCTGCAAACTAGCGTAAAGCACCCATAAAACCTTTAATAAAGAAAACATTTGGACTGCCAGTTTGACTAGGTCTTCTCCAATGAAGGGACTACATTCAAGCATGGGAAATTCTTCCTGTGTTGCACAGATGCTCTCTCTCTGACCCATAACTTCATTTAACTCTCCTCAAGAGGAAGAAAGGAATCCCTGCTAAAATTATTAGCTTTCACAGAGAATATTTTCTTTGAGGAAATGGCCAGCACACGTGCTTTGCTTTCTCAAAGGGCTCACATGAATACAGCACAAACTCTATGCTCCTGCAGCTATGAGAATGTTTTCTTTCCCAAAGGCAAACACATATTACCCCCTCTAATACTCTTGTCCCACTTGTTGGGACAACACTTTCCACAGAGATGCCCAACAGCTTTAATACGTAGAATCACAGAAACATAGAACGGCTTGGGTTGGAAGGGACCTTAAAGCTCATCCAGTCCCAACCCCCTGCCATGGGCAAGGACACCTTCCACTAGAGCAGGTTGCTCCAAGCCACTGTGTCCAACCTGGCCTTGAACACTGCCAGGGATGGGGCAGCCACAGCTTCCTTGGGCAAGCTGTGCCAGTGTCCCACCACTCCCATAGTAAAGTCTAAATCCACCCTTTTGTCCAGGTGCCTGGCTACCTCCAAAAGAAGTATTATTGATTGTGAGATTTAGATCTCAAATACAGTCAAGGGACACTAGCTGGAACCCCACTGTGGCCTCATAAGACATCTGCTCTATCCTTTAAAGGGGAAAACCAAACTAGAACAAGTTTGCGCAATATATAATCAAGCACAGTTGTCAAAGGAGAGGAGGAAGACATTTGTGCTGTCCTCCTAGCATTCATCTAGGGCCCTGTGTCCCCGGGTCCCACCTAATGTGGTCTTGTTCAGCTTCTTGGTCTTATTTTCTGCATGTAGCTGGAGGAGTTTCCCCCTCATGGAGGTTTGATAACCATAATGGTTGCAAAGAGCACAGGAATATTAAGAGCAGTTGACAGAGGAGCTCTCAGGGGGACACAAAGGCTCCTGGCTTACCACTCAGATTACAGACCCTTAGGATAATGCATATCATCTTATTGGTATAATTGCTATTGCTTTCATTAAAGCAGAGGCTTGAGAGACCCCTATAAGGGGAGGAGAGACTGAAATCATGCATACCTTTTATATGACGCCCAGTACAAACTGTGGTCTGAGCCAAAGCACCCAGAGAGCCTATCTCATCAAATCCAGCAGTACTAATGAAAAGAGACCTGCACGTTATTTGATAAAATGCCACATTATGAGGTATCATGGCCTCAGACACAGGGGACTTCAAAGCTACTCCCAGCTACAGCTCTTACACAGAGCTGCAGCATCTCAGTCCATATTCAGCTAGCTAGTTCAGAGCACCAGAGCTACTCTCCAAGCTCAGAAAAAGCTGCCGGTTCTGAAGAAAGTGGGTAGGTTTCCTTTTTGTTCTAGACCAGATCAAGCTCCCCCTGGCATTCATTTCCCCACAGCAAGGAGGAACATTTTTCCCATGCAAGGCAACACTTTGACATTACGAGCTCAGTCAATTCAAATGTTCCACCCTGAGATTGAATAATTGTTTAGCTGTGGTATCAATAGATACCACTAATCAATAGATAACATTAAATAAATGCCACGGTTACTGAAATGAAAGCATGAAGCTAGAGGATGCACACCAAACCCCACTCTGGTTGCTCTTACTGCTGGATTTTGCAGGGCAGAGTCAAAGGCAGGCGATCTTTGGAAGCAAGAAAAGTCAGAGTAGAATCATAGAATGATTTGGATTGAAAAGGACCTTAAGACCATCTGATTTCTACCCCCTGCCACGGGCAGGCACACGTTCCACTAGAGCAGGTTGCTCCAAGCCCCTGTGTCCAACCTGGCCTTGAACACTGCCAGGGATGGGGCAGCCACAGCTTCTCTGGGCACCCTGTGCCAGCACCTCAGCACCCTCACAGGGAAGAGCTTCTCCCTTATACCTAACCTGAACTTCCCCTGTTTAAGTTTAAACCCATCACCTCTTGTCCCGTTGCTACAAAACAGTCAGAGTGAACATCTGTTCATGGCTGAAGCAGGCACAGCAAACCCGTAATCTACCATTCTATAAGGAGCACATACCACTTCTCAGACTGCTACCATACTGAGTCCAATGAGTGCTAATTAAGCCTGTCACATCACTCGGCCAACATGGGTATGAAGTGTTTCTATTTGCCAGTATAGCCACATTCAAGAGGACATGATCACATATCTTTGCACTGCACATTCCCATCATACTTCAGACTAAAAATCATTGTAAACTACAGGTTCCCCAAATGAAAGATGCTCATTCACATGGTTGTCATCTCAAGAATCACAAAATGTGCCTTCCCACTTCTTCCCAATGCCCTGCAAGAACCATCACCCCCAAAGCAACTTTAAAGTGTTCATCACTTTACCATGTTCTTTGCAGCTCCACACAGAGAAGTCGCAGGCATGCAACTGACCTTGGGCAAGACTTAGTGTCCCCTCCAGTGCTGCATCCATCCCACATTCTTGAGCTCTGAGACAAAACATCTCAGAATCTGCAGCAATGGCTAGAAACATATTAATCTTCCTGATCCATCTTCCCTTAATCCACCAAGGAGCATCCTATAGTTTGTGACTGCTGACTTATTACCCAGTCCTCCCAGAACACATTAATCACTTTAAGACATAATAAAGCTTTCTAATAAAGAACAAACTACAGCTGTTAAGAAAAAGCAAACGCTAGGCTAGCTTTTGTGGGCATGTCACATAGAAATACTATTATAGTGAGCTTCTCATATTGGTGTATGCAATTAACATTAATTAGCACAAATAGAAGGTTTGCTTTTTGTTTATTTTAATATGTTCATTTTGCTTGTTGCATATGAGATGCTGATGCTAAAGAACAATGTACTCAGTGAAAGCTTCACTGAAGTTGGTGGGAGGCAGTGGTTAGGCAATAAGGTGAACTCTTCAACAGACCAGATTTTAACCTGGGTTGGTAACTTGAATTCATCCAAAACATTAACCCCACATGCCTTGTCTTCATCTGTCAACAGCAGATACAGCCAAGCTGCACAAAGCCATGTACTATGGGGATACCCATGCTTACCTCAGGAAAGGTGAAGTAGTTCATGCAGAGGTTGGAATCATTTGAGTGAGACTCTTGCTGGTACCAGTTTCCTCTGCTGTGACTACATGATGTGATCTGAAACATAGCCCTGGAAAGGGAACGACAGGAGGCTGAGGACACATGAACGATGTGGAAAAGTTAAAAGGAGCCATGTTAAGGCCACCAACTAAGTAAAAGGCAGAGAGAAAGACAGAACATGGGGACCATCACACAGACAGGCTCTGGCTGAAAAATGCCCTGTTGCCACCTAAGATCTCTTCTCCTTCAGGGCAGTAAAAATTCAGATAAAGAATCTGTAAGTGCAAGGGGGCAAATGGACCTGACTACCACCTTTCTGCAGCTTCACCAATAAAAACCTGTTCTTCATTACAGAGGCCAAATGAAGAACCAGGCTTTTCATTTCTGTGTGCTCATGCATGTGTGTGTGGACATAAGGAAGTTTATTCTCTTTATTTGTGGGTTTCACTGGTATTTCCATCAAGAAGGACAATACTTTGAAGCTGGAGGCTGGGTACATTCCCTAAGAACTGGGGGTGATTCCAGAATGCAATTATATTATTAGGACAAATAAAGCATGACATTTCCTACTCCAGCACATCTAGAAGGAATTTTTACATAGTCCTCAAGGCTCTGGAGCCACTTCAGCCCAAAGCAGGCAGGCAGGCACTCTGGAATCCCAGCTGCTCAGAAAAGCAAAGACTAGTTAAAAGAATGAAGTGTTTAAAATTTCATTTTTTAAAGAAGTGACTTTCCTTTGTCTTGCTTCACTGATTTTCAGTGAGCTGAATAGATTGAGTTACTGCATCATGAGCAATAGTTGAGTTACGATCGTGAACATGCTTTCCTTTGGTGAACTTGTAGAGAAAATGAATACCATTTTTCCACATACCTGAAGAATAAAAGCACTTGTGGAGAGGAATCTCTCCCACAGGGAACACTTGTGTACTTTGCAGTAGTGTTTTATTAAGAGCTGGAGAGTTCAAGGGTCTCACAATTGTAAGTTTTCAATTAGCTTTCCATTGCTTCCCAAACAGTCTCTAAATACTCTGCTAAACTTTAATCCAATCACTCGATTTGACTCCAAGCATGATTTATCTTTTAATCATCATCTGTTCAATGAGGGGGAAAAGAAAGCAAACTTGTTCTTGGCCCATCATGACTCATACATGATTTTACTGCAAGCTGAGTTGTTTTTTCCTTTTGGCTGATGCCTTGGCAATTGCAAGCATTGGCTTTGGCTTTCAGTTTAGGTATGATCTTTCCTGCTTGTTTCCCCACCTCCCCACAAAGTTGAACTGCCCTTAATGTTTGTCCTTTATACCTTTTCCCATCCCATCACAGGCATGTGATTTTGTTGGTTGTTGTTGCAATACCTCAATGCTGCATTAATCAAAATGTCTGCTATTTGATCTGCTCTCAAAACACAAACCATGGTTTAAAAAGGGGCTCACTATTATAAACGAATGCCATTTTCCTGGAAAGACATATTACACAGACAGTGCAACAACAACCAGTACTTTCTGGGCATCCACGAAGAGCTTAGCTATTGGAACTGGGGCAATGATATTTCCTGCTATACAAAGCCTGACGAGATCTAATCCTTCCTCCATGTGACTGGCTTGCTGTCCTCCTGAGCCGATACCCATGGTGTGCCTTGGTTTCTCCATCTGAAAATGAAATTTTCATGCAGCACCTTTAAAATACTCTTCTCCCTTTCCTAAGTTCTCCATAAAAGCGGAATGTTATAAGGCCAACACAGCACATAGAGAAAAGCTCTGAGGGAACTGCACACGGCCGGCTGGCCCCCTGGGAGCTGCAGCACTCCGTGCATCAGCCACACCAGGGAATGACCTACCTCTCAGAAACATCCCAGCCACATGCTTTTGCCTTCAATGCAGTAGCCACAGTTAAATACAGCTCTTCAGCTAAAATAAGGAATGGACCCATCCTTTGCCCATGAATGGCATGAACTGCAGAGCCTTTGAGGTCTGAAAGTGTTGTGCAATGTCTTCCCATGCATTATTACTCATATCAGTGCCTTGTGCAATTCACAATTCCAGCTGACAGCGGGGGTAGAGTCTGCAAAAAAGCTTCTCTCATCACAATTCCCTGGCTGCCTAGAACCATGAAGCAGTTGAACTCCCCAGAGCATGCAGCTTTCCCAAGAGAGTTCCCATTTAAGTCTTCCTCACTAGGAATTTCAGAGAAATTCCTTGAAACCTGGCTCAAATTTCAGTGCAAGGCTAATAGTTTTTGATAATTTCTCTGAGTGCCAAGTTTTGGAAACATAAGATTTCATGGAAAAGCTCAGGTTTCTTTTGTTTTGCTTTCATGTGTGTGTGGGAAAAGCAGAATACATAGCCCTTAGAGACTAAAGACAACCTACCTCCCACCAATGCATTCAGATGGAAAAGAGAGGAAGGCTAATCAACCTAATTGACCAGTTTTGCTACACAAACACTTGTCTATGGGTTTCCCAGGAGCAGCGTGGCCAGGAATCCACACTCTCCCAGCTCTGGTGTAGCCAGTATTGGATGCTCATGAAGAGAGTCTAAGAATCTTCTCATGTTAATAATTTCCCTGGCATCCTCCAGCTTCCAACCACCTGCAATTTAGCGACTGCTAGAGCTGTGTCTGGTTCATGCTGAGGTTGTGACTACTTGAAGTGTCAGGATTTCTTTTTTCATGGGTTCAAGATGCAGCCTGAATATTACCAGGTGGCAATAACCCTGGCAGCAAAGGACAGAGTCATAGGTATGTGGAAAGAATCATGCACTCGTAGGCATTCCCACACCCAATGCTTCAGTAAATACACTTGCTTGTGGACTTGCTGAATAAGCACTCAAGTAACGAAACAGAGCCAGCTTAGAGTCTGTAGGCCCTAAGAGACTGCTAGAGAGACTGGTCACTGTAAATGACATTCATATCCTGGAAGCTGGTGTAGAGGCATCCTTCTCACATTCATAGGCAACTCATCCCACCCCATTGCCCACTTCTGATTTCCTGCCAGCATCAGTAAAGACAGCTCATTCAGCCAGTTTAAGTGCCAGTATCTCCTTCCCAGGCAGCCAAGGTTACCTTTACAAGACAACTTTGTGATCCAGCTTCCTGCGCAGGTCCCTAGATATAGGCAGTAGGAATTAGGTGCCTTCTTGGGGAAGCTGCACTGGACTGTGTTTCTCTGATCCATCTCCATGCTCACTTCTATGGCTGCTGCTGTGCAGCCCTAGAGGTGCCAGTGTCAGAGGTCCTGTGCGTGATCTGGCTCTTCCCAGTGGTTTTGCTTCTGGGGAAGGTATCCTCTGCCTACAGGGATTTTGTTAGCTGGTCCCCCAGTGCTAAGCCATGCTTCAAGTCTGACCTTTCCAACCAGGGCACTCAGCAGTCAATACAGGCATGGTAAAGTCTTCAGCCAGGAAATCAGATGCACACCTTCAGCAAAGACAAATATGGCTCATTAACACATGCAGATCCTTTGATGGTCTATTACTCAGAGACTTTGAATCAAGATTGGATGTATCCTTCTGAAAAATACCCAGCTGCATCAAGAACATGCCCAGTGGGCTTCAGGCCAAAATGGCTGGGTAACAACCAAAGATGTGTGTTATATCGCAGTGATCAGACCAGAGGGTCTTAATGATTCCCTTCTGGCTTTAAATCCTACAGAACCTCACTTCTTGTTGATGCTGAGTTCATAGAGCAGGAATTCACTTGGGAGCCTACCCAAGATGACTGGCAGCCACCACAGCGGATCTAAACAACTCGCTTTTTGTGGTGGGAGACTCCATTCATACTGCTAGAATTGGCTTTTCACTCTGATGCTGGCTTGTTTGCCACTGCCTCTTTCTCTCATGCAGGCAAGTAGTCATGACCTTGCTCTTCCGCAGACCTTCCCCAAGAAATGGTGCCACCACTGATTCAGCTGAGGGAAGGGAAGGATGGGAAATGGTGGAATTAAGTGGGGTTTTTTTACTTGGAATGATTTATCTGATTTTAACCTTGCCCAAGACTCTGTCTCCCTCCTTAGTGCCATGAGACACTCACCTTTCACATAGACTCCTGCATTTGGTCCAGCAATGACCTGCCAGCATGAAAAAGGAGGAAACATTGAAAACTAGAGTGAGATCATCATCACCTGAGCATCCTTAGAGGAGAACCATGATACTATTCATCCCAAGCTTCCCAGGCACGGCACGCTGCTGTGGGGTTCAACTACATAGCTGTGTCCTTGCCATGCTTAGTAAACAACCCATCCAGGTGGTTCCAGAATTGCTTCTTAAGACTTATTCTTTGCATTTTCCATGGAGTATGTTGGGTCCCCCACAGTCCTTCAGTTGTCTCCACCTATTACCGTCTTTGTCCTCACACAGGTTTGGGAGAGAGTTTTCTCTTCCAGAGCAGTTTGTTGTTGTGGCTGACAAATGATCTCATTCCCAGATTTCTGTTTGCTCTCTCCTGACTTCCTAGGGAGGTTTCTGAAATGCAGAACAACTCATTTGGAACAAAAACAAAACCAGAAGACTCTTCTCTCCCCCAGAGCAGCATCATGATAACAATGCTCTCCACTAGAGGCAGGTTTTGTGCATGCTCAGTCCTGCCACTGTGTCCACTGAGTCAACCAATGCTAAGGGAAGCCAAATTGCATCCAAAGCACATCTAAGGTAGTTGATAGCAGACAGGAAGAACTACCTCCCAGATGGAGAGTGGGGCTGAAGCATCCTGCACAAGCAAAGGTTTTCCCAAGCTATTGCTCCTGGTTTATAATGCAGACATGCTGGATTCCCATAAAATGGAAGCAGTTGTCAGTCAAACAGACATCGTGCTGTAAATCTACCTGGGCGACTGTTTTCAAACCTGAGGTCTCTGGGCAGGTTTACGAGGTGATGCCTGCATGAGTAACAAGTCCCATGGACCACTGTGCAGGTGCAGCCAGCAGGATGGGAGTGGGGCTTTGGGGACCAAGGACTGGGTTCCAGCACAGCCAGAGCCCTGCTATCATCTGTGCAAGCCTGGATTTCAGGATCTGCTCTCTGGCCTGGTGCTGTGTCTCCTCATCAGCTCTCTCCTTAGGGGAAACAGAAATGCTAAAGAAAATATTATCCTCATTACAGGTACAGGAGGCAGAAGCTGATCTTTTTCTTTAAAAAAAAAGGATCATTTTTCATTAAATTGGGACTAAAAATAATGCAGATAATTCAGATTTTCTTGTACCCGAAGAAAGGGCACCTGCAGCTGCAGGAATGGATAACCCACTCTTGAAAGATGTTCACGCACCTTGCAGAAGACGTAATTGGTACAGTGGCTTTCCAAAGGCGTTGAGATCTGTTTTCCTCAAGAAGTCAGGGGTAGAATGATTTTTAGTTCCTGATGGCTCAGTCACTCATGAATGGGAGCAAGGTTAAAGACACCATTTTGAAACATCCAGATAAAAGCACTAAAAAGAGCACTAGATGTCACATAAATGACAGATTTTTCTCTCCCTAGAATTATTTCTCATTGGTTATGGAGACAGGGTTTTTCATGGGCTCTATCTGCAATCCTTGGGTGCAGCATTATGTTAACCTTGCTAAGGGTATGTTCCAGATCATAGAATCAGCTGAGTTGGAAAAGATCTTTAAGATCATTAAGTCCAACCTTTACCTCAGGACTGCCAAGTCCACCGCTCAGATGAAGACATAGAAACTCAGGACAAGCAGCCTTTGTAAGGTCGTTGCATGAGCAACACAACTTTCCTTCAGAAGTTCCCATGAGCACTTCCCTTCCCTTGAGATCAAAACCGTACAGCTAAGACCAGGTTGATGTGCATGTTGTCTCACAGAGATGACCATTCACTCTAGTAAGCAGTCACAAACCCCAGTGCAGTGACTTGGATGAGGAACTATTTGGCAGCAACAGTCCAGAGGTCGCCACCCAACTCATAAAAATCCCTGTGGAAAGGGGGAAACCACAAGTGAGTATTTTTATTGGAGAAAATGCTTTCCTTCTCCTAGAGACTGGGATTAATTTTCTGTAACTTTGCAAACACCCTGCAGAAAGGTTCAAGTGTCTGTGTTCACTCTTAAACACCAAAGACCTTTAAAGCAAAGACTGTCTTGACTGGCTTATGCTAATAATGAAATAAATCAAAGTTATATTAACAATTATTCACTGGTGCCTTCCTCCACAAACTTTGGCATCTGATGTTTCTACCCTGTGAATAATAAAGGTCCTGTTACCTTTTTCATTTAAAATCAACATCCTGCCTATGCTGGATTGTTTCATTTCACAATTACTTGAGCATCTCAGAAATAGTCATCATCCCTTTGAAATTCTCTTGCCCTGGAAATCCTTGTTCTGCTTTTCATTACTTCATTACATTTGCTATTGTTTTAGGCTAAAAAGAAGCACATTCCATTTTTAAATGACAATACTTGCACTTTTCTTGCCCTCAGCATTTCACAAATAATGAGCCCAGTAATTCAGGTATCCCAGGCATGGCATATGGCTCAAAAAAAGGGATAGCAACCCTTTAGGGTCCTCCCTTTAGCTATGACTGTGAGGTGGTCAACCAGCCAATTGTGAGGCCTCAGGTCCTCCTAACTGGGTGAGCCCAGGTCCTGGATATCTATCTACATATGCATCTACATAACCTGGATATCCATCTATATATCCATCTACATATTCATCTACAGTTTGGCAGTGCCATTACTAATACATGTTGAGTATTATTCACCTGGATACTGCATTCCCCAAGATTTTTGGCATCTTTCATCTGCCCTTCTCTGTTCATCTGGGACCCCATTCCCAGATCCGATGATGAGCTGCCCAGCATAGTGTTGGAGTAGCAGCAATGACATGATGAACTTGTATTTTGGAGTTATCTCATTTGAAAGTGAAGCATCTGGTCCTTTCTACATCTGTTCTTTGTCCAGGCCAAGGACTGAACCCCTTCATTAAGCAATTAAAGATGACAGAAACATGCTCTCTGTGGAAGCCATAGATATCTAGGACTGGGAGAATTCAAACCCATATGCCATAATTCCATTGCCTATCATAGATACAAGCCCAGGATGAAGTTGCTGACTCAAGAGTCTGCTTTCATTAGACCCTATTAATTAAAAATGACTGCAGCCAAATGTTATTTATGGATCATCCCACTGGGTCTGAAGAGGTTTTAGGGAAAAATTCAAGCCACGTTTCATAATCAGTGTGGTACCCATGCTACCTCATTTCCTATTGGAGACTCCTTCACCCACATCTTCCAAACAAGTGTAACATAAGCCCAGTTGGTTGTACATGCCTTCTCCCTCTGATGAATAGAGTTGCAGAAACACCAGAGTGCAGCAGGTTTAAAGTTGTGGTAAGGGTTGTTCACAGGAGGGATGAGAACCTCAGCTTCTCTTCTGAGACCTGACCTCTCATAAAAACTGACTTTCTAGGGGGAAATAATTTGTTGCATTTCTCTCTTTCTTTTCTTATCCTCCCCTCTTCTTCTTTGTTCAGAGTCTCTCTAAGAGAGCCAAATTCCCCTTGAACACACTAGAAGTAGGCTTGCTGGAACATCTGTTCTCCATCTGTGAGGCCAGACATATCCCCAGGCAACACAGGCAGCACTGTTAGCAGTGATGGAAATGGAAAAGAACATTAAGCACTGAAGAAGCATCTGCTGAGAGAGAGAAACCCAGTTTATAAACCCATGTTACTTGCTGAACCTCTTCGTCTCTGCCCATAGCTCCTGGTGAACAAGAAGCGTCTCCTCTAAAACCTTATTGAGGAGAAGACCTGCTGTGCTCTTGCTGATTTTGGTATTTTCAAGTGTCTAAGGTTTGTGCCTAAGGTGGCCAACTCAACACTACCCCGTGTTCAGCTAAACAGTTACTGAGGAGCTGTAGGAGCACCTAAAAGAGAATATGAAATCTGGGAACTGCAAAGAGGCCAAAAATGCAGCTGCAGACGTGTTTTGGGTAATGATGGTGCAGCATGCAGAGAGAGGGACTTCAGGCAGGAAGGCTTTTCTGCTGCCTGCTTTCTGCATAGCTGAGCCCAAATCTGCTTAGAAGGGTGTAAAAGGGACTGCTGATTTCTTTTGTAAAGCAGATATACAGACAATAGATTTCATGTTCAATTCACAGAACAAGAAGAAAAAAGATAGTCCTGGTGTTTTATACTGCAATGCCCTCACATCTGCTCTTTGCAAAAACGTTTCCTGCAGCCTGTTTTCTGCTACCTTAAACTTCCTGGAGCAGGAAGAATTGCCACAAGTAAAAATCCCAGGTTCCTAGGAAGATAGCCTATGCCTTATCTTAAAATAAATCCCTCTTTTTACAGGGCAAATTTACCAGGACTCCATAAGTCACTGTCAGGTGGAGGACCCAATCATCCTTTTGGATTCATCGAAAACGCAGGTCATTTTCTGCTCTCCAGCCCTATATCTGAAGCTATTGAGATTTCTGCCTTCAGCTGTCCTGTCAAGGAGCTGTCTGTGGCTCATAAACTTCACAGTAGACATTCTCATGGAACTTTTCACAGCAGCAGGACACAAGTCATGAGTGCATGAAGTCAAGCATTTGATTGTCTTGATAAAAATCCTGTATGGCATGCTTCAGGAAAAGTATTTAGGCTTTCTTTAACTTAAAACATGTTTCCATTCCATTCATTTAAGTCCTTAAAATATGACTTAAACGTCTGAGTGAACTTAAGCATTGGCTTAAGTATTGGTGGTGCTTAACAGCTTCTACCCCCTTTGTCCAGCATCACGGAGATGCTGGACACCCAGTACTCTCCCATTTTCCAGCACTTCTCAAGACGTGGCTGACCTGGTCCACCCTTCCAGGACAGTACATATTACAATTATGGTAGCTGCTGCTATTTTCCAGGGCTTAGTATGGTCTGAGACAAGGCACTGAATATCCATATTCTCCACAAAATGTATCATTCAAGTGTGATTCAGAAAATGCAATAACCAAATAGAATGATGTTTGCTTGCTTAATATGGGGTACCACTGTGTTTGCAATTTAACACAGCAGTGCATCCCACATCTTTATCCCAACCATTCTCTTTCTGTGAGTGTAGGAGATGGCCCTGCTGTTAGAGAGGGCAGAATCATGTGCTTCTGACAGCATTATAATAGCATTTTGTTTGTCCAGCCATAGAAGAATGTGGGGCTATTAACACTTTACCAAAAAGATAAAGGACTGTATTTTGTTTTTTCCTTCAACCACTCCTAACCAAAGCCAACAACAATAACAACAAAATCCCTGTGTGAACCCTACTCTAAATAGCAAGTGGAGACACTGAACTTGTGGAAGAACTCAATAACTGCTTCAATGGATTTTCCAGGAGAAAGTCAATAGAAAACTCCTTCTCTCTTGTTACATTCATTCATATTGTTTTGTAGTCAACAGCTACTAAAAGGAGAAACACGTGTGCTAATTAGTTTTGAGTGGGGAAGAATAGGATCATTCCCCTGCTGAGGAGCCATGAAGTATTTAAATCATGAGTCCCACTTGGATATGCAACCGGAGAAACCTTTGCGATAGCCTTCCTCAAGGACAAAGCAAGCACTCCCTGCCCCTGAGTTTTTGGGGGGTATTAATGAAATTTGAATCCAGTTTGCTCGATAGTCAATTTGGCCTGAAGTTGCAAACATTTCCATTAGCCTGCTTCAGACTTGCGGGTCAGAAGATGGAGGAAGTTTGTTACAGCTTCGAGGAGGAAGACACCGCTCCTGACTTTCTCCTCTGGGGCGAGGCAGGTGCCAGCGATCAGCTGGACAACCTCTTACTTGACTGCTCCTCCCTAACAGACCCCTTCAGCCCTTGGCTCGACCAGGGGCAGGAGGCGGGCAGTGCAGCGGGGCGGGCTCTGGGTGCTGAATTGGACAGCTCCGCACCGCCGCGGCCCCCTGGCCACCTCCGCCAGCGCCACGCCGCCAACGTCCGCGAGAGGAAGAGGATGATCAACATCAATTCGGCCTTCGACCAGCTCAGGAGCCACGTACCGACCTTCCCGTATGAGAAGCGCCTCTCCAAAATCGACACGCTGCGTCTGGCCATTGCCTACATCGCTCTCCTTGGTGAGATCCTCCTCTCCGGATGCGATCCCAAATCCTATGTGGAGCAGTGCCTGAAGAATGGTTTGCAAAGCCAACAGCAGGCAACCTGGAATACAAGCGGTGAGTGAATGAAGTGTTGTGTTTGTTTTGGGTTGCCAGTGGGAATGAACTGGTCAACTTGCTTTTGGATATCCACTTGTCACATTCATAGAATGGTTTGGGTTGGAAGGGACCTTAAAGTTCACCCAGCTCCAACCCCCTGCCATGAGCAGGGACACCTTCCACTAGAGCAGGTTGCTCCAAGCCCCTGTGTCCAACCTGGCCTTGAACACTGCCAGGGATGGGGCAGCCACAGCTTCTCTGGGCACCCTGTGCCAGCGCCTCAGCACCCTCACAGGAAAGAACTTAATCATAGAATCATAGAATAGTTAGGGTTGGAAAGGACCTTAAGAGCATCAAGTTCCAACCGCTCTGCCATGGGCAGGGACACTTCACACTAAATATGTCACCCAAGGCTCCGTTCAACCTGGCCTTCTTTATACCTAAACTGATATGTGTTATTTCCTCATTCCATTGTAGGATGAAGATAGGAAATTGTGCAAGTGCCAAACATGGCACCTCAAGTCTCAAATAGAAAGCAATAGTTTTGGTGTTACTTAGTGGCACAAGGAGGAACAGGGGGATTTTCAGTAGTTCTTGGCACTTTGTATTATAAGGCAATTAACCCCCTTTCTAACTCTGTCTGTTTGGAGAAGGTGTTCCTTTGGATCTTGCCACTTTATGGAAATGGGCCTTGAAGCATATCAGCCTTCAGAAAGTGCAGCATAAGGAGAGAAAAGTCTTTTTGCAAGAATAGTCTATTGCAACCCTTTCGTTTCACAGGGAAGTGTCAAAGGGACAGAGCTTGCAGGGGAAAAGCTATCAGTTTACTTTAAAGGAAAAGTTAATTCTTTTCTCCTTTCCTATTAATTTCCATTTGCTACATGACTGGGAAAATGACTCCTGGTATGCTGCTGATCACAACTCTCTTGACTACTGAGAGCATCCAGATTCTATTTTCCAGCTGCCCCCATCTTTAACAGATAAACAGGTTTTAAACCAACACAACCATCTCTTATAGGGATCACCTCTTTTGTCAGGCTTCTAGTTCACTAATATTTCTGAAGAGCTCCACTTGGAAAGACCTAAATGAGTGAGACTGCTTTCCTGGAGAGGCAGAATTAGAGGCTTGTTAAACAGTAATTTAAATGCTTTAAATGAATGTGGTATGTCTTCACTTTGTTTTCCTTTCTCCCTTCTGTTCTCTGCAGATCTGACAGCCCGCCTGTCCTGGGTAAAATGGGATTAAGAAGTAATAAAAAGAAAGATCTTTCAAGGCAGCATATTGCCAAACCTGCTGGCCTGACTGCTGGGTACCAGCTGTCAAATTCTCAGTACTACAAGTAAAAGAGAGGAACGCTTACAACTCCATTTATTGTCATGGATCGCTTTCTTTCCTAATGTCCAGCATCCAGTCTCTTTTGGTGTTAATCCATTGCTGTGTAGGGCCTTCTGCTTCTCTTTCTTCTAGTTCCTCATACACTGAGAGATTAAAAATCAGTGTCATTACAATCCCAGCAACAACATTTCTCTTCCACTGGAGGAGGACTGTGTCCAAAACACATTTCCAGTGCGTGAGAAAACCTGCCTGTGATCACAAGAAAAAAACAAGCACCACCAGTTGCACCCTATTGCTTGGCTTAAGATGTCCAAGGGCATAACTGTGAAAGTTGCCAGTGATTTAGAGGACAGCGACCTATTTTCAGGAGGTGAGAGACAGCTCTTTCTGTCTATGTGTCTCCAGAATTTCTCATGCGTACTCCCCAGTGTGATAAATTTGGGAGGTCTGACTCTAAGGCCAATGGTCTTTTGATACCAATGACTGCTAGTACTTGGGCAACATCTCCTCTACACCCCTGTCAGCTTGAATGCTCATGCAAAAACAGCAGATGGATTTTGACATTTTCATCTGATTTGTGATTTTTGGAGCAAATGCCAATGACCTGATGCTGCTCCAGTGACCATCAGGAAGGGTCTCATAAATGCTTCCAACATAAAATATCACATCCCCCCACAACAAAATAGGCAAGCAATGCGTTCATGCTTGTCAAGTGATTACCAAAGAGTCATTTCTATTCTGCAGCCCACGGTAATAATATTAACAAAACTAAAACAGTGAAGAAAAACCTATAGCTATTATGTCTCTGACATAGTTCTCCTATATTACCTGAGTGCACCCTAAAGCTAACATTGCCTGTTGAATGCATTTCTTTCCTTGTCAATTCTACACTGTAAAGGCTCTGAATCAGTTTGCTGGTAAAGAAGATCCATCACACATCTTGCACACTCTGCTAACACCCTACTAGTGTACTTGGAGATGTGAAACCGTTCACCCTTGATGTACTTTATCACATTTCTTGGCAGGTAGAATGCTAGATCTAGATAAAAGAGAATGTATTTAGCATACTGATTAGTTCTCCTCATAGCATTGATCCCTACAGAACAAGGCCACATCAGGAACTGTGGTTTTGCTCTGGTTGAACTTTGGTGGTTTTAAGGGGAAGTGAAGATGAAGAGGGGTCTTTGTGAGGGGAAAACTGAGAAGAGCCTTTTAACCTTTACAATTCTCCTGTCAAAACAAAAGGGAGGATTTCATCTCAGATGCCACAATGTATTTCAGTCAATTCAGAATAAACCATTTCACCTCAAACTTTTGACTCTCTTTGCTTTTTCGCCCACTTGAGACACCTGGATGAATATTTACAGTGGCTGAAAAGGTGAAAAACTTAAGCAAGAATACCTGAAAATGCAGTTTTCCACTTTTATGTACACCTCTACTCATTTTGCCTTAAAAATGACAAAACAACACACCCCCAAACACAAACCAAAAACCCACTACAAAAGTACCCATTAGATTTTACTTTTATAACAACATAAATCTTTACGATTCCTAAAATATGAAATAATTGGTCCTTCCAAATCCATTCCTCTCCTTTACTAGAAACACAACAGGTCCTCAAGACACAGGCCTGGCTGCAAAACCAGGGCATGTGGCTGAGGTTCCTGTTTCTGTCTTACCTGCATGACTTGAGGCATGTCAGTAATGCACATTCCCCTCTTGCTGCTTCTTTTTTTACCTGACAGTCCCTTCAAGTCCACAAATGCTTCAGTGTGTGTTCTAGCACACAGGAACCCAACTGGAACCTCAAGCAGCTTATACTGAATTCACCTCTGTTTTCGCTGCAACAGTACAGCACTCCAGATGGGGCCAAACAACAAATACAGTGGATCAGTGCAGCAATCCTGATGCTTTGCTTGATCTTTTGGATACAAGTCCACCTTTTTGTATCCTCAGAGACCTAGGTTTGTGTTATGACCCTCTTCAGTTCACCTCACAGGTAGAGCTTAGCAGAGCACAGTGGTGAAGAAGGTGAGAAGCACTTTATAACCCACTGAGTATCATAGAATCATAGAATGGTTTGGGTTGGAAGGGACCTTCAAGACCATCTAGCTCCTGCCCTGGCAATGCCAATCCTCAGTGCCACTGAAGGTGACACAAGTATCACAGGTTAGTAGTGATGGATGCTCAGGATCATTTGGTGCTTGGGTACAGAATGCCCAAGTACCTGTCTGGGATCTGAAGGAAATGAAAGCATTCTGCCCTTCATCTCTAGGCTCTACAGCACACCTGGGAGCAGTGGTCACATTGCCACCTTCCTGGTGATCTTGAAGGATCAGTCTCATCAGGGGGATCAAAGCCATCCTCCCAGGGCTGAAGACCTCCTCCATACTTATCTCAGGGTCACACTCAGTAACACAGGACCCATGTTCTCAATGAGGCATGCAGCAGCCACATGTCATTTCTCTAAAGCCAGAGAAGCCTTCCCACAGCAGACCACAGCTGTCAGGCTGTCTAGATCCCACAACCCCCAGCACCTTTGGCCAGAGGAAGCTTTTTCAACAAGCCCAAGTCACCCATCTGTACAGGCTGATTTCCATCCTGCAGCTCTGTGCCAAAGGAAAATGCAAAGATCTACATGTCCACAACTCCTACGATAGCATTTCCAACCTGTGTCTGCAAAAATGGCAGTCTGTGTCAACATGGAAAGGGGAGAGCTGAATAAAGCCAGCTATTTAGAAAGAGTTCAGATAGACCCAACAGGACTTTCTGCAAGCTTTCATTAGGATGTATATTCCTCCAAAGTCTTTACCTGTGTCTCACCCCTCTAAGATGCTTTTGGACAGATCCTAGAGGTCACTCACCTTAATCCTTGGGAAGCAACAACTACCTCTCTAGTGTTGTCATGGCTAGTGGTGGAATAGCTTCCAAATGGGAACATGTCTGTTATAAAAGGTCCTTCACACCAAATTAATTTTGGGTGTCCAAAATCCCTGGCTTCAGATATCCCCTGTTTCAGTGGTATTAGAGACATGACTATCTGACTTGCTTTTCTTTACACCGCAGCAGAGGCTTATGCTGGATTCAAGACAACAATGACACATTATGAAACAAATATTTGCTGCATGGCACCTGGTTACAAACAGAAAGTTCTTCTTTTGCCCTTTGCTCCAGCCTAAAAGAGCTGGATAATGGCTTTTGAAGCAGGCTGGGTGTATGCAGTAGCAGCAGGAAAGCACACTCATATAAAGGTAATGTTGGGCAGTATCTCAGGTTCTTGCAGTGGACAGACAACTTATCTGGATATTGCATTAGTACCAAAAGCATCGTAATGACAAAAGCAGGAAGAATTGTCCTGGAACAAAGAGGTTTTCCTCATTGTGGTGACTCCAACTAAGGAAGGAAGCTGAAGCTGAAGTCCTCCTCTGAGATGCAGACACCTACCACTGATGCTCCATGGTCAAACAGCAGTAACAGGAAAGACAGAAATATCTGCTGAGGTTTCTGTACTCTAGCTCCACCACCACCACCATGGGGTTCCTATGAGAATTGCTGGCTGGTAAAGTGCAGCTGGCCTGTGGTCTGCAGGCTGGGAAGTTCTGTAAAATGCCCTGCTGCAAAGGCACCTCCACCTATCATTGCTGCTGTCAAAGAATCGTTTCACAAGGCATGACTTTGAGGAAGAGGCTGCTGGAATTTGATGATGACTCCAAACTTGGAAAAACTGTAGCAAATAAATCCTGCAGCAGGATGTGTAAGGACTGGGGTTTGGGTTGAAGTCAAAACCAGAAGGAAAATCGTTCTTCTTGGGAGTTAAAACTCTAATCCTGGGCTCTCGAGTCAGTAAGTAGAGTCAACACATTTATTGCCACCATTAAAACTGATGAAAAGCTCTTTCTCCTTACACACACTATGCTTTGATATTGGTATCGTTCTGACAGCTTCATTGGAGACACATTAGATATATACCGGCTGGAGGAGACAGTCCATCTCAGTCTGCCCTCTCCAAGCTACCTGAAGTCTGACCAGGGACCAGCCAAAAGTGCTAAGCCAAAGGATGCTTCTTGAGTGATGTTTTGTTAAATAACTTGGGTGCAACAGGCTGCTAAAGTGGTGAACACATCATGCCATCAGATCAGTCTCTCTTTCATCTCCTCTGATGATCCCATTCATCTGGGATGAATAAAAGCAGATAAAGAGGGTATCAGCTCGCTCTGTCTGAAGAAAGTCAAGCCAGTGCTATGGCTCTCTTCCTGCTGAACAACACAAAGGCAATTTGGCTCTTGAGAGGGTTTTTTTCCAAGGCAGATGTTTCTGAATAGCTCCAGGTCTGGGCATATTTGATCTTAAGTAAGCCTGCCTTTTTCTGACTGTAAGGCTGAAAGGCAGAGAAACTGAGGCAGTCAACGGTTCCTGTGCACTACATTTACATCCACATCAATCCAGAGCAGCTACTGTGTGTAGACATGCTCTGTGTCCACCCATCTTTTCTCCTGCCAGTTCTGGCTCATTCCCTGTGTCACACTTGGCAGCAGTTTGCCCACTTCCCTGGTTTGGGAATCAGGCTCCTACTTCCCGGTCTTTTCAGCTCTGCTCCATTTGCAATGCAGGACAGATCAGCTTTGCTTTTCCCTTGTCTCCTAACAAAGCAGCGGGATCTTCTTACCAGATATTCAACAACCAAACCTCTTATGGAGGGAAGCTAGGAGGTGCTGAAGAATGATACCTTCATATAGCAACCTCCAAGGACCAGCTTAGGGGCCCATCAACAGCAGAATTGTTCACTTGAAATACGGTCCCTGTTTCCAGCTCACCAGGGTCCTTGCCAAGAAAAGTGAGAGTTATTTATTACACCTTCCTTCCTTCAGAACTAAACTACTGACCCTTTCTGAAACAATAAACCATGGTTCTCCTTCATCCACTTGGAATGGATGAAGGAGAACAGAAGAAACTGGAACAAAACTCTGGACAAAAGGAATCACATCCCCATTGTGAAGAAATGAGTTGTTCTACTGACAAGGCATTGGCAGATTCTTTAAAGGACAGACCTGGGAGTGAAGGGACAATTTGTTTTTCCTTTTTTCTTGCCACAGACCCAGAATAGCAAACTTCATTTCCAAGACCTTCACTTTCCAGCATGGAA